GAGACCAGCCGGCCCCCAGACCATATCGGCTAATCCCTTGCATCTCTGCCACGCACGGAATCGGTTGAAATACTAATCTTAAAAAGTCTAGTCTATTTGGTGCATTGTTTTCACGGCTATTGTTATGCTGATTCACCTTGAACCGTGGTCCAGTGGAAAAAACTTGGACTTCCATTTCATGATACTGAGTCAAGTCCGATTGAGCGAAGTTAGTACCTGGATGGGTGACCTAAAACGTATGCCTACTAAAAAAATGCTGAAGTTTTTTTTTTCTTTTTTTTTCTCTCTCGTAACTTTCAATAAAATTAAATCCGTTTTAGTAACTCGAAAAAAAGAAAAAAAGCCGGGCATTTAATCCGTGACTGGCAGTCTATAATATATGAAAAGCAATTTTGGTAATAACCGCATAGGGATATTCCTAGGTTTATTATACTCCTGGTTTAGCTAGTTTAAGTTGAGACACTGCCATTTCTGGTGAATGGATACTCCTAAATCAGGTGGAGGATACTCCTAAATCTGGTAATGGATAGTCCTGGAGTATCCCTTAATCTAGGCTAGGAGTTTCCCCTAACCTGATTTAGGAGTATCCCTTCACCTGCTTTAGGAGTATCCCTTCACCTGATTTAGGAGTATTCCTTCACCTGATTTAGGAGTATCCCTGAGTATCCCTTCACCTGATTTAGGAGTATCCCTTCACCTGATTTAGGAGTATTCCTTCACCTGATTTAGGTGTATCCCTTCACCTGATTTAGGAGTAATTTAAGAGTATCCCTTCACCTGATTTAAAAGTATCCATTCACCTGATTTACGAGTATCCATTCACCTGATTTAAGAGTATCCATTCACCTGATTTAAGAGTATCCATTCACCTGATTTAGGAGTATTCTTTTACCTGATTTAGGAGTATCCTTTACCTGATTTAGGAGTATCCCCACATGATTTAGGAGTATCCTTTACCTGATTTAGGAGTATCCCTTTAACTGGATGATTTAGGAATAATATTATTTGATTCCAGACAAGTATTCGAACGGTGTCTTATCATTAACAGGCGAGAAAAGTGCAGCAATTCGTCTCATATTTCCTCTATTGAACTCCCGGCCTCTGATAACGCCCCCTTGTAATAAGGTCCTAGTCAAAAGTACTGACAAAGAACATAAGCCCCGGCCCAGGGGCTTAATAGAGGAAACACGGTAAGTATGGTCTGAATTACAGCAGGCCGATTACTGACTCCTGGATACTGACAGTAGCATTAAAATCATCAAACCCACAGCAATTAGAAATTACGTTCGTATTTTTATATAAAACCATTTACTTTTTACTTGACAAAATACTAGGGTGTAGAATAAGAAGAGATAACTAGCTAGAAACTAGTGTGAGCTGCGTCGGTGTTTCTAATGAAACAGTAATGATAAAAGGGTGAATTATACACCGTGAAAAGATGAAAAAACTTACTGACGTTTCGGACGCTAGTCCTTCGTCGGAGTAAAAGAGCATATATGATTTCTCGAAATATTTAGTGGATTTGTCCTTGTGACTGCTGACATTTACGTCAAAATGGAATATGCTAACGTCACAGTTCTCCAAACCTTGATTGACCCTCTCGTCCAAAGTAAGTAGGAGATTAATACCATTCACACTGACAGGATAAATTCCCTACGAAGTACACAACAAGTAATGATTGAAGCATTTTCTCATAAATCGTATTTAAGTAAATATCTCCTTCAGAAGATGAGTGGGGTAGACCGGCTTATAGAGATGGAATTCTTCCAAGCCAGCTCGTGTTTTTGGTTTTGGTCACTGGGAAGCCACAATGTAAACTAATAGTATACAGAGGTGAAAGATCCTCCTTCCTTCTCTTCTTTATCTATATAGATCTTTCTTTCTTCTTTATCTTCTAATTCCTTGGTTTGTTTCCCATAGTATCTTTCTTTTCTTTCTTTTCTTCTTTTACTCTGATATCATTTAATTCAACAAAGGAATTGATCATGCAGGACAACCATTATTAAGCTAGTTATTACCCGTGCGCATTYATATTCGATACCTTGAGCCACAAGTTCCGTCACCCGATCATGTCTACTCTTGGCACGAGTTTCATCGCGGCCGAGCGTTGTATGTGAAGGGTCAACAGCATTCGCCGATGATGACTCTCGATAAACTCTGATCTCGGAAATTAATTTTTTTATTCTTCCCTTGAACGTGCTTTTCTGCCATAAACGGCTTAAACTTAAAGAAATCTTTTGGGATTTTCCTTTTTCATAAAGTCAAAATGAAAGCTTCTGACCTTGGGACGCCCTCCAATTTCGAGACGGACGAATTCTATCCGTTGTTTTCATACGTCGAGATAACGTAATATTGTTATATTTCATACAAGCTGGGGATTTGAACATCAGCGTCCTAAATGGAGCAAAAAAAAAAACTTGAAGAGTTTCAAAATGACAATAGGACTGAACTTTGACGGACGACAGTCGCAAAAGGTTCACGCTACACAAAAAAGGTGCGAGGGTTACGACAAAGTTGGAGTAGATTTTACTTTTTTAACTATAATGTAAGACAGATTAGCTCTTACTTCTAAGTTATTTTCTAGAGATGTCGAAATATAATCATTATCTGTTACTCAGAGTACTGCCTTAGGAAATAAATGCTGCACGTATCAACTTTATTTTCTTTGCGTCATCACAAATTGAATATCAAGTTTCTTGTCGTAACTCTATAAATTTTCTTTAGCCTTTAAGCTTGTATTCCATTTACGGACAGCAGAGGTCGAAGTCACATCTCTGATATAATTCAAGAAAGAAAGATGCTTTGGAAAAGCTTGTCTAGCTTAGTTTGGGTAGTTTTTGGATGCGTTTATTTGTGTACGGAACCAACCCACTCAACATCAGCAGGATATGGTAAGTCAGAACTGGATCTCAGACATTTTAATCAAGAATCAAGCTGTTAAAGAGAGATCTTTTAAAAGAATGATAAATGATAATTCTTTAAAATCTTTTTTAGAATTATGTTGTAGAAATGCCTGAGTTTCACTTGATAATTCATGTTCAAATCATGGTTTTATTCTTCATGGCTGTTGTTTTTTCAGTCTCGATACTAATAATTCTTTTACCATTGGAATTCGAAACCATCCGGCCCAGAAGTGTTTTTTAAACGCTATCAAAAACGCAAATCTTAGTGATCTAAACTGAAAGTATTTATACCAAAAAATGCTTACACGAGTGACTAGAGACCAACTCTTTTCTTTCAAATGCTTTCTTTAAACTAGACGAAGTCTGTAGAAAATTTCAAAGTAATGTCACCGAAAATGATTTACGTGGCTTTCATGATGCTTATCAGATATTTTGATGTTTTAACTTCCGTTTCGTAGTTCTTTAGTTACATGTTATACTACTTCTTCGAAAAACACATTTTCGTAATATTTTTATTTCTTATTTTTTATCCGGAGCTTTGCTTGTACTCCCCGTTGGAGAATTTTTCGAGCTGCGAACGTTCAAATACTCAAAGGTTCTACGACCTTCGCTTCAAAACATGTAAGAGTTATAGTTACTATTACGATGACGAATGACACAGGTCTCGAGATGAATTTAATTCTGCTTAAAAAATAATCTCATCCAAGGTCTCATTTGCAAACACGTTTTATGCGAATTTTGTTTGACCGTGAGTAAATTTGAAGCAGCTGGGTGGGGAAGATGAAATGATGTGAATGTCAACTTTGCGGGAAGTCGGGGCTGGACCAAGATACCGTGGTCGACCCTAATTGAACTGGTGTTCCTTTTAAATCGGTTTTTCGTCTTATGGTAATTCAAGACGTGAGCGTATTTTCAAAGGTGGGATGATTCTCGACAAAAACGATATTGCGTTGTATATGGGTTGCCAAATATGTCCCTTTGAACGAAGACTAAAAGAGAACCTTTGAGAAGAACAATTTTGTGCTGTAAACACTAAATTCCGACGTACTGAAACACTTTCCTTGTACAGGTTTAAAATCTAAAAAGCCTTCTGACAGTTAAAATATCTACGGAATTTTGTAAACTTTTCTCGTTTATCTTCTTATGCCGGTTAGAAACCAGCTTGAAAACTCATTTTCAAATAACCATGAACACAAATAACTTGAGACAGAGAAAACAAAGAGAGCCATTAATTTGTTTTGAAGAAAAACATATCAAAAAACAATCATTTGGCTTTGAAAACATTTGGCTAATCGATATCTCACAACCTGAATCTTTTTTCCTTTCTTTTTTATTTTTTATTTGATCCTTTTTTTTCGGAATTAAATAACGAAAGATGGTTCTAGATTCGCCAGACATCTCGCACTGTTCAATGCAAACGCGGGAGTAGCAAGAGAAAGTAGTTCAAATTCATTTTAAAGCTATCGTTTCCTGACGTCAATTATTTTAAAGCTTATTGACTCGGCTCATATTTGCTATGATAGAATATTCTAGAGCTATAAAACTGCTCGAGCAAATCTTTCTTAAAGATTGAATAAGGAAGCTCTTTGAACCGGTTTTAAGGACGTCTTATCTTGACACACTTGCGAGAGCCTGTCATGAAGTCAAATTAATCTTCAACCCTTGCGAGGATTTCCTCTTAAACGAGATAAAAATGCCATACTTTTGACGATGAGGAATTTTAAAGAGAATCCAAAATATTTATTTTACCGTAAAAGGATGGAAAATGTCCTGCAGCAGTATAACACTCAAATGGTTTCCCATATCAAGCACTTGATTGGTTGTGGTTTTTCGTGCTCTTGTCGTTGATTGGCTAAACATTAACGGGGAAGCTATTTGAGAATCACGTTTGACTGTGAGTCCTATGGGTCGGTTTGTGGGTTTAGTACAATTTTTTTTTTATCAAGTGATTTGGCTTTTATCATGATAAAGCACGCACTATATTTCTTATTGTTCACTCACATGACCGACAAAGTCGTTAAAAACATTTTTTCCAACATAACTATAAAGGTTTTAGGATGATACAGTATACGTACGTGTAATCTTATTCTGTTATTTTTGGGAGGATTTCCAGACCTATAAGTGTTAAATTAAGTTCACATGTTTAAACGATAGACTAAATGTCTAAAAGAATGATCATAGAGTTTGTCAGGAATATGAAGCAAGTTACTTCATATTCTCTTGAGTTCGTAGAACGACACAAACCAAGCTGCGGAATGGCCTCATGATTTTTCAATTAACAAAAATAAAAACCAAAATCTGAGCCGGTTCCGGAGTATGCCATTAATTCTAAATGTACGTCATAAAGCAATGAAGCAATGTTTTACGCAGAACGAAGCTGACCAGGTGCAATAATGCTTTAACCTAAGTAGCATATATAATCACTATCTTTTTCCACTCAGTTCATGAGTGTATTTAAAACAATTTGAAGCAGTTTGAATCCCAGATTTTGCTCTTCTAGCTGACCTCTCCAAAGCCACAGTAATTAGAACGATTAAAATGTATTTGACATGTACATTGTACAAGTTCATTGAAAGAATCTAAGCAGACTTCCCTTGAAAGCATAACCTTGTGTTGTTGACCATATGTACTAAAACGATCTTTCTCGAAGTTCAAGCAAAAAAAATCTGTCTTTCGTCGTTCAACTCGCTAGTTTAGCAGTCTTCAAACTATTTAGTAAAGATTTTAGTGCGTAAATGAGCAAACTTGTTTGATTACCTACAGAAAACAACAATAAATTCCTTTTAAATTTTGATTATTGTTCTTTTTCAAATACTCAAGATTCTTCACCTCGGGCTAGTAAAAATAGAACAAAGAAGCTTTATGAAGCATTGCTCGGCTTTTAAGCGGTGCAGATTGATTTCAAAGGCCACTCCTTTCCTTGAGAAATTTCATTTATATCAGCGAAACTTTCTTGAACTTTCTTTACTTAAGTCCAGACTTCGAAAAACGCAATGCATCTGGTAAGGTTAGGAACAATGTTTGGATAGATTTCTACGCCCGAACTAGTCGAACTTCTACTAGTTGATAAAATCTTTATTGATGGGCCGTAAATGTTTTTCTAGTGAGACATCTAGTTAATAAGATTATTTGAATGAGTTGCATCAATGGTCATTTATGATATATGTATAGTGCAAGCGTTACTGGAGAAGCAAAGAAATGATACTCAAGGGAATGACACGTGGTCTGAAATTGGAAACATTTCTCCCAAAGTAAAATGGGGCCATTGATGGCTATCAGAACATGGGACGTTTGTGCCAGAAATTGGAGGGATTCAAGAGAAAAGTAAAGGAAATCAACCCCCGGCCTCCTTTCTCTAAATAGGGTCTTGCAGGCATCGTGTTGTAAAATAACGCCTCTCTTTTGTGATCACCGTAACCTGGGTTCCAGGGTTACAGAGGCTGCGAGAGACGAGGAGGAATGGGGAGGAGAGAGAGGAGGGGGAGAGGCTGTGAATTGAAAATCAGAAGTACTGTAAACGCGATCGAAATATGGCGACCAATTTGAATACCTATTGTTTTAGATTGACTAGCCTTGTGTTCACGTGTAAACATCAAAGTGTTTTCACATGTAAGAGGTTAGTCAGTCCAGAACGATAGTTATTCAAATTGGTCGCCACATTTAGATCATATTTCGATTCACTGTATAGAGCGTTTTCACTCACGTGACAGGGCAGCCATATTGGTGTACCAAACAATAGAAACTTTCTACACAGTTTTTGCATAAAAATTCCCGGAATTCGATTCCCCAACTGAAAGAAAAAGTATTGAATACGGCCTTAATACTGCTGAAGCCTATTTCTCTTGCTTATAGATATCTATTCTTATATATAGAGAATGTATTGCTCTGGCACACCAGCATGGCCGCTGAAATACAAAACACGTGGCGAGGATAAGCCCTCGGTGTATGACGGAACAGAACTCAGCTCAATTTTCAGTTCATTTTTTGTCATGCCGGATCATTTAACGAAATAAACACATGTTTTCACGAAATCAGTTTTAACTACGTTGAAAGGTTCCGTCATGACGAACTCGTTAAAACGAAATCCGCTAATTACCAATTCTTGGGGTGCTCATCGCCGCCATGTTGGTTCACTATAAAATTAATTTCTCTTAGATCAACCAACGTGACGGCCATTTCATCGTCATTTTTATCTTAAGGAATTTTGAGTCATGTACGTTGTTGCAACCTAAGAATTTTGAGAGGTTTAAGTAGTTGAACAGGTTGACAGCAAATAGCCAAGAACCCTTAAAAAATGGCCCATCACCTAAATGTATTACAGCATTGAAAAAGTGTTCGTGCGAAGCCTCCCTCATCTGACTGACCTTCCGCGTTAGTAAGGCCGAACGATGTAACGCATTTTCTTGGTCATTAAATCTTAAATTGATCACAAGAAAAGACTACAAATTCACCGTTCTGATAATATGCTGTCCTTGGTGTTGAAATACGAAAAAACTAGTGAACCTCAAGCTCCAAATAAAAAGACTAATTTTGAATTCGTAATAATAGAGTGCTTTTAGTCTCACTGTAGAATAGTTAGATAAATTTATCTTAGATAACTATTTACTTAAAATAGTCACCTAAAATAGTAAAAGCGCGCCAAATAACGGTCATGCTAATCAGGGGGGGTTGTTTTACGAGAGAATGAGTGAATAGACATTCATTTGTATCATCTTTTCCCCCCAGATCTCAGTAGCTGTTTACTCGTAGTTTCAAATTTAGGTGACGTCACCTATTCAACAGTGAGACTAAAAGCACTCTATTGCTGTGTTTATTAATTACAAATTCATTTATTCAGGGTTATTCTCATTCCAGTCATCCTTATTCAAAAAATACCAACGGTCAAGTAAAGAATGCACAACTTACAATACAGACACTTTTGAAATTCCACGGAACTTCACTGGAACACATGATAAATTTGACGCAAACTCGAGGCTGACCTAGTTGTAAATACTGAAACCTGTATTCAGTCGAAGAACATGTATTTTACGGATTCTAAACAGGTCTTTTCGTTCTGCGATATTTTAATCTTTCCTTTTCATTCTCACTTGGGATTATTTTTCTTCATTTGCGTCTTTCCGGAGATTTAATCCTCTGAATTATGCACTTTGACGGCATAAATGCCTTCACATATCTATCGGCATTGGCTTTGCGGAATTCCTACATATTTTCTCGAAATCTTGAGCATGATTTAAAGAATTTACGCTAAGCCTAAGGATGGTCTGGTCTTGAGCTCGACGATGGATACACCACGTCCGGTGAAAAAAACGTGTCAAATCCACCATGACCTACTAAAATTCCTTAATATATTTTGAACCTTAATCTGCTAGCCACTTAGACTGCGTAGCGGCTCTTGGGAGGGGAAATGGGGATGAAGATTAAGGAGGGGGATTGAGGAGGAGGGAGGGAGGGAGAGCCTGCAACAGTCCTATTGTTTCAGCGTTTGCCGCCTCCAATCAAAGAATAGATTTACTTCCCTCATACCCATTCCCCCTCTCAAGAGCGGCTACGCAGGCTACTAGCCACAGAATCAAGTGTGTCAACAAGTTTAGTTGGTATAGTAAGAAGACGCCATCTTGGAATATATTTCCCCCTAAACCAGCCCCACAATGCACTGCAATGCCAACTCGACCCAGTCTTCTCCCTAACATCGCGTGAACGACACAAGATTGCCAGATTCGTTTTAAGAATCAAAGCCGCGTGCGAAGCGAGAGGTGACGAACTCGCCCTGCCCCTCCCCGGGAGTTTTTTCCCTGAATTACGAGGGTTTACCTCGTTTCTACTATAACTTGTCGTTACAAGATCGTTTTCTTAACCACCATAGCGGTGAATTTTGTTTCAGCCAATCACAGCGCGTTTAGCTTTTTTGCCTCCGGCCCTCGTTCCCACACTACTGTAACCCAACTTTTGCGTATTTTTTTGTTTTCTTTTGACTAAAATATAATATACGTGGCTACAAGAGCAGAAATATGAAAAGGAAGAATAAAAACTATTTCATTTTACTGCCATATTTGCTTCGTTCTTTCAAATTCCAAAAATGCTTAGGACCGGCCATTTCGTCCCATCATGCTTTGCGCGCAGCTTTCATCGCTCAGCTGGAAAGGCGCTTGATCTAGCTCATCAAATCAGTATTTGAACCAAAGACCTACCTTTCGAGCCCACCAGCAAATAACTCGACAATAAATTCGAAATCTGTTTCTAACTCTGACGAAATCACTGAATTCTTTTCGAAGCAAATCAATTCGATGAGTTATCGAGAGCATATCTAGCAAACAAGTAAACTTATTTTGTATTTTTTATTCTATTTACCTTTCAAATGTTATTTGATATTTTCAAAGAAAGCGCGAATGAACTGTCAAAATTGACATATGCTTTCTTCAAGTCATCAAAAATGGAAATTAAGAAGTGCGTTCGTATCTCTTACGTTTCGCTACTCGGACATTTTACTCTATTGTGCAAAGGAATTGGAGTTCAAAGTAACTTCAGCTCCACCATGACGAAACAAGACCGCTTGAACGTCGCATTTCTCATCGTTATAGTAATTTTCGCTGCTACAGTTTGCACAGCGCAGGATGGCTCGAATTCCCGAAGCGCGCCTTCTGGGTATTGTAAGTTACATTCTGTAATCATTAGTTTTTGTATGAATAACTTTGATAATTTTTGAGCACAAATATTTTCGTAGTGCTATTACTTCATCCTCGTATATGCGTAATGCGGTTGAAGACGTTTTGCGCAGTTTGATGCGATCAATTGTTTTACGATATTCTACCAAAACTCTATTCTTGGATTGAAAATCGCACCGAAGTTTACACAACAGCGAGTTAAGCAAAAAATTCCTCTAACCAGGGCTGAGTAAAGTAAAGTTATGGCGGCAAAGAATCCAACTCAAGGCTTAGTAAAGCAAAACTCCGCATATTCCAACTGAGAATCCAGGCAAGCTACAACGAGAGAAAGCAAGTTAGATTGATGTACAACATTTCGGTCTTTGCAGATCTATTACTAATCAGTCCTTTTTCTCGAGTGGTACGTGTGTGATGTTTTAAAGTAATCAAAAACACGAAGGAATGTTAAGAATACTAATCTCGGCATTTTTTAAGACAGTGCATGGAAGGTATACATCTACGCCCGTCGATCGAAAATAAGCTCGACCTTTTTATCAGGAGACTAGAAAACATGGATCATGTCATGAGCCTGGGAATGGAATATTATATATAAGCTCACAATCTTTTCTCCTTGGGGTAGGGGCTAGTCACATATCTTTTGGGAGGGGATCGGAAAACGTTCATGGACTTGAATGCGGATTTGCGGTGGGGGTATGCATTGAAAACCCCACACCCCCTACCCTTGGGGAAAAGCAACTAGAGTCAGTACGTATTCATGTTCCCAGAATCAGCACTTCATTACGGGGAGAGGGTGGCGCTCACACTGAAGCAGACGCAGAGGGAAAGCGGTTGCTAGTGAGACATTCTTGACAGATGTTTTTTGTATTCTCATCCCTAGTTTTCCAGAATGGACCCTACATATACAAAGTGGTCCTTCCCAAGGAAGACAAAAGATCCTGGTTCGAAGCAGAAGAAATCTGCCGGATCGAAGAGAGCGGTAACCTCTTGACAATAGGCGACAAGAAAGAAGGGAACTGGGTCAACCAACTCATGCACAACCTCACCAAGGAGCTGGATTACATGGGGAAGTTCTGGATCGGGGCAACTGATAAACGACTTAGAGGTGTTTATGAATTTGTTGATGGTTCACCGTTCAAGTACAGAGAGGCACCGTGGGCAGAAGGAGAACCAAACAGACCTCCCAAGAAGGCTTTTGGGCACGAGTATTGTATTTCCATGGATCCTAATAGTGGTACTCCAACATGGAGTGACGATGATTGCTTCCAGAGTTTTGGATATATTTGTAAATCGCAAGGTAATTTAGGGGATTAAAAAATGCGTGAGAAATGTCACTGAATTATGCAGTGTACGTATCCCCCTTGCCTACCGACTTTGCTGTCGTTCTTTTCTTCCTCTCCCTCTCTCCCTCCCTTCCTTCCTTCCTCCCTTCCTTCCTTCCTTCCTACCTCCCTTTATTCCTTCCTTTCTCCCTGCCTGCCTTCCTTCCTCCCTCCCYCCCCCYCCCYCTCTCCCYCCCYCCCYTCCTTCCTTCCTTTCCTCTCTCCCTCATCCACTTTCCTTCTTTATCGCCCTATCCTCCTTGACATACATAACCCTTGTTCTTTATTTTGTTTCACAGAGGTCCCAAAAAGACTGAAAGATAATAAGCGTTTTGGCTACGGTATGTGACAATACTGTTACTGATGTAACAATACTTTAGCGATCCAAGCGACTCAAAATCTTGTACAATGCATTGTCTTCTAACCATGAGGAGCTTTGGTCAAAAAAGTTTAGACTCTGATTGACATAAAGTAGTTTCATGTTACGTTTAGTGACACCTTCAAGGTATCGCAGTCAAACATTGCATTAGAGCAGTTTGTTTTATTAAGAATACACTATAGTAGTTTCATGTTTCATGTTGTTTTTGTTTTATCAAGCATTCGACCGTGTGACTAAAGTAGACTAACGACTCTACGATGAGCCTGAATGAAATCATATCATAGCAGAAAATTCTAATCAATAGTCGGATTTTGCATATTTTGTTAACGATTAGAAAGCGTACAACGAAAATTATTTCTTTATCGTATTCAGAAGAAAAAAACATTAAAAAGCAACGTGAACTAAGCACGTCGACTTTTGAATATATGTTCTAGAAAAAAAAACATTTACTGTAGCCGAGTGGCAGAATTCATAAATCGACGGATATTATATTTTTGAAGTGTGTCCGAATTTTAAGACAAAAATTCCTGACCAAGAATCACATAAATTAAATCTTTTTTCGTTCATTTTACAAACTCCTTTACACATTGAAACTTTTAACTGAAACTTGTGTGCACTTGTGGGAAAAATGCACACAACTTGCAGCTAAACGTTTCAACGTGTAACAAGGCCTTTAAGCTCATATAGGAAACTATTTTTTCTGTTTTGTAGCATGGGAATGGAACTACTACGAGTACAAGTTCATCCCTCTTCCTTACGACTCCATGACGTGGTCAGAGGCAGAGCTGTACTGCCAAGAAGCTGAGTCAGGTCACTTGCTCTCCATCTATAACTCCGAAGAAAGCGAATGGGTGACAGAAAGAATAAGACAAATCCGCCAGGTCTTGGGCTTCAAAGGACTTTGGATTGGCGCCACGGACATTTTCAGCAAGGGCTCATTCAAGTGGACGGATCGTGGGCCTGTCAACTATACAAAATGGACCGAAGGGGCACCAAAAAATACCAGCTTGTCGAGGAAGCCAAGAGAAGCTTGTGTAGCGATTCTAGCTGATCCAGAATGGGGAAAATGGGACGAAGAGTTCTGTATCAACAAGATGCCATTTGTTTGTAAAACTAAAAGTAAGTTTTGGATCCAAAATAGGCCATTTTCGAATTCGCAAAATACCGCTATGTTCCTAGATAACAGGCTCATTTACTCAGGTTTAACAGTCATTTCTGTGTATTTACAAATACCGACGGTAGAAAAGAATGCACAACTTCGACAATACAAACACTTTGAAATTCCACGGACCTTCACTGGGACATGTGAATAGTTAAAAAAAATCAGTCCATACGAAATCGATCGAGCCCCGCTAACTATGAGCAACAGAGAATTCGAAACTGGAGTATTTTCGCAACTTGCGCATTAACAGTATTTCATACACCAAGTTTTTTCGTCACATAGGCCCATTCAAACCGTAGAACAGTTTTGGCTCAAACAGCAAAGTTGTTCAGTTCTGGACCTACATATACTACAGGCAACCTAGTAAACAACTATAGGGCTATATCATGTTTTATCTAGTTATACATTGTAAAATACTGAATTGAGTTTTATAAATACAGAATGCAAAGGAAAGTCTGACTTGGCGTTCATCGTGGACGCGTCAGGTAGCGTGACTGAAGAGGGATTCAAAAAAGCCAAGGAGTTCATGCTTAAGGTAAGAAAGCACAAAATTACCGCAGGAATGAACGAATCGTTTACGACTAAATAGCAATACCAACACGACATTTCATCGCTCTTGAGTGGTAACAACAAAAAATTGAATCATTGAATAAGCCGAACAAGCGTTATAAGGGGCAGGCGGACTGACTCTAAGGTCCTCGCGAGGCGCGCCCCTAGAAAAAAGCCAACTCGTTACACGCGGTAGAATGTGGTGAGGTAAACTCCGCTGAAATTAAGGATTTCAAAATGGATTCATTTAGAGAGGATGACCACGTACTATCGATTTGGATTCGGCACTGATAACGTACTGTAGCCCAACATACCTTTGCTAAGATCTAACCCTTTGTAGAAATGTTTCGAGCAAAATCAGTACCTTCTACGATGATATTTTAACACCCCGAGAAAGTGTTGGTTAGGCCAGGGATTACAGCTATGACTTCCCTACAACAGTCCAGTGCCCAACTAACCGGCCGAGCCAACCGGGTGGCGGTTAAAATTTTTCCAGATTAATTTTTTCAATTTCCCGTCTTTCCCTGTAGGTGATGCGAGGATTCCAGGTCACCAACAACGAAACGCACGTTGGTCTCATTCGTTTTGCTAATGATGCAGACGTCATCTTCGGGTTGAAGAAACATCACAACGTCCTCGAGTTGAAGAAGGCAATCGACGACATGTTGTTCGTGCAAGGGGAGACCCACACAGAAAAGGTAAGCTTGAGAAGTATTTTTTTTACCTTTCTTTTCATTGCTAAGCGTTGTTCGCAAACAGGGAAATAGACTGCCGTCAATCAATAAATTGTTCAGTACCGTTACATGGTTTACATTCTTTACATACTTTACATACCTACAGGAACTCATTCGTTATTAACGTTATACAATGGGATGCAAACATTCCAAAAGAACTATAAAGACATGGCAGCCATGTTATTAACAAAGGAGGCTACACAGTGTGTGCAACCGCGTAGATCAAATCCCTTGAGATATAAATAACAATGAAACAACCGCTATGTTGGTTGATCTAACAAGAGAAGCTAATGAGGAATGCTTTGTTATCGTCAACCAAGATGGCGGCTATGACGTAACATGCACATGCTCTATTGAGAAATCTATTGTCAAATGCCTCCAACATGGCGATGATGACGCAACGTCCAAACGAACAATTGAAACATGGTATCTATTTTTTACAGGCTCTAGATCTGGCACGAACGACTCTTTTTTCCCAGACAGCGGGCAGTCGTATGGACGTCCCAAGGATTGCTCTCGTGATGACCGACGGCAAGTCCGATTCCTTCCGACGCACGTCCCAAGCGGCAGCTAAACTCAAAACCATGGGGGTAACCATAGTAACTTTGGGAATTGGCAACGGTGTGGATAGGAAAGAACTTATTGATATGTCGACGAGTGAGGACTATGTGCTGTACGTGGAGTCCTACGCTGCGCTCAGCAAACGAGTCAAGGAAATAAGAGAAAGAGTCTGTGATGGTTGGTATTTTATAGTTGATTTTCTTGTCTTAAGTCTTGAGAAGCTCAAGTCTTTCCCTTGAGATTTCTTCAGTATACCTTATAGCAGTTATCGCACGAGTGGGAAACATACGGTACTGATTTACAGCACGTACACGGTTCGACATGCCGTAACTTTGAAATGGCTTCCCGTTGTCTTGCAACTCATCTAACCCTAACGCTTTTATTTTTCCACGTGAACACGAGGCTAGTCAGTCTCTAGTCAGCCATATTTCGATTCAGTGTATGACGTATTTGTTTTGTTTTTTCCGTTTTAGAAATCATCCGTCAAGGATTGATTCGGCAGAGAGCACTTGAAGAAAAAGCAAGGATATTGGCAGAAAAGATGGCCAGGGAAAGAGCAAGACTCCTGGCTCAAGAAAAGGCACGAAGACTAGAACTTCAAAGACTGTCAGCGAAAGAACGAGCCAGGAAATTAGCAGAACTAAGACGTTTGCAACAAGAGAGGGCTAGAAAATTAGCACACCAGCAACGCTTGGACAAGGAGAAGAAGGCCAGACAATTGGCGGAAAAGCAAAGATTGGATAGGGAAAGGAAGTTGGCAGAGCAGAGAAGGAGGGAGAACATAAGAA